GGTTGCAAAAGAATCAACAATACTGCCAATTCCTAATAAAGTATAGATTTAGACAAAGCAATTGTGACAATAAGTAATCAAATTTGTAACCGTACCCGTTTCTTCCATGAATTACCAGCAAACCACCAATTAGTAAATATTAAAACCGCTGGTACATAAATCAAATATTCACAAATTAAAACTGTGGATCTCATGAACAATTTACTTTCGTCACTTTCATAACCACGTGAACTATCCAATGCAAACCAGGTTGGATCAAGTATATAACCTCTAAAAAGTTGTTTTAAAGAAATAAGACAAATCAAAAAGAAAAACTGTAGAATTGATTTCAATCAACCATACATTTTACCACAAATCCAGCTCACATATGCAGTTAATGGAGGATAATCAAGGCCCCACCAATCTAAATTGTAGTAATACCATTGATTAATTGGAACATGTAAGGTAAGTTCCATCCAATGCCTTTGCGCTTCATAATCACCGTACATTGGTGGAGTGTTATAACCTGAGATAATAATCAACCGACATAATTGTTGAATTTGATCATTTATACGAGTTTTACAAAATAGCTATTTAGTGTAATAACTTAAAAACTTGCCAGAATAAGGATTCAAACCCACAGTCCATCTAACGTAAAGCGCGAAAAGTAAAGTTATGTAAGTAGACCAATTATCCAATTTTAAATCGCACATCCAATTTAACCATCTTTTCGCTGGTGAATCTATAATAAAATCCTCATCCAGCATTACATTTTTATCTAAAGTCTTTGTGTGATCCATAATCATTAGACCTCTAAATGTGTGCTATCGGAGGAGTATGCCTATTTGCTAAGCTTATATAATGTTCCATGACGATCCGATCCATACATGCATGACCAATAAAATCCATTGCATTTAAATCGATCAAAATTGGTGTAACTGTAAAGTAATGCAGTTAATCAGTTAACGAAACCGGTCAAATTCAAAAAAGAGAACTTGTTATAATTTCAGATATTAATATTACTATGTATTAATATTTAAAATATTCGGATCCAATACAAATATTAGCCTTCAAAAGCCTCAAGAGTACTTTAAAAAGCATCTTTTGCACTAGTTAAAACTAAAAATAAAAAAATAAAATTGAGTTGAATGGTATTTGAACAATACAATGTGGCATATCACTACCAGGAATAAATTAACAGGGGGAACCGTTCAAAGTTACACGAAGTTCATGTATTGTCACATGTTATTTATAATATACAATTGGATAAATTAGATTTCACCATAGTCTAGTGCTAAAAACGCATTAAATATAGTGAGAAAAGCGATTCTGCATCTGAAGAGGATAAAAAATAAATCTTATAATATTCAAATTTGCATTGATCATTGGACCAATTTTAAGTTATTTGGCTTTACATATAAGGAAAATTTTTTAGCAAATATTAGATATGTACATAAGCAATTTGTTTAATGTGACTTTATTGAATTTATTTACTTGTCTATTACTGTTTACTTGTTTATTACTGTGAATGTAATTCTATTTTCATGAATTATTTACAATGAAAATTGTTAATTTCCTAGTAAAAATTGCAACAGGATGATAGAATTATCAGGGCTTGCGGTTAAAACCATAAACCACATTTCAATGAATAATTATGAAGCATGTTTTTTCTTTTTCGCCTTTGAAGTTTCGGCCTTAGCATTAGGGGTATAGATCATACGTGTGGTCATTTTTGTAACCGATTCAAGCGTGGAACCCTCACTCTATAGAAAATCTTGAATTGTTTTCATGCTTTCAGTTAACAATAACTAATTTACAAAAACTGAAAAAATGTTAATTTGGTGATTTCAATACAATCTACTGGCTGTTAGAGATAATCTATACAAATCTCATATTTTAAAAAGCCCATCACGGTTTG